GCCTCTATGAGAAAATATCTCTTTGATTGTACTCCACTTGCTATAACACCCAAGAATGCAGAGTCAGTTTGATCTCACCCAGAATCTGCACATAAGAGCTGACCTGTGCCTGAGATTCACAAGACAAGGCCAGGCTTTGGATTAAGAATGTAATGAAAACCAACAGGAGGAATTTTCTGCATTGTGAGATGTCAACATAGGCATCTTAAAGCCCCCCATTGAGAGTGTGGCTCTTTGAGCTTTCCAGGTCTTGTCCAGTGACCTGCTACAGTTACATGAGAGGATTCTGATGTAAATAGAATCTGAGAACAGAATCTGTAAGTAAAAACAAGCATCTTAGGAGTGAGAGAGCAAGTCTACAAAGTATCCAGAGCCATGACCACAGCTATGCCTAGCAGTAAAATGTAATACCTGAGTATAACATTTTTGTCTTTCCTCTTACCCAGAAGCTAACTAATCAGGATAGGTGATCGAGGTTCTGAAGCTTTACCACGGCAGCTCCATTTTCTGTTTAGAATCAGCCTAACTCTCTTTCCTCTGACTTAGAGTTAGCCCATCAGTGCATGGTCACTGGGAATCCTCAGAATCACCTTGGCATCTTTGAGACATTTGAGGATTTCCAGAGCAGAACTATGTCAGGCTGACAAGAGACACCAGCAATTTTAACTTTGCTTCTATCTCAGTGTAAGAGAAATGGTTCATCCTGTGTTTGTTCCTTCCTTCATACAAGAGATGTCTGGTTGGTAGCCAGATGACAGTTTCTTCAGATTCCTGGTACTTGGAAGAAAAACAGGAAGTTCTGGAAATTTGAAGAGATAAACTAAATGTTTTCATCTCATATGGCCATTAGGATAATAGATGAAGCACTCATGGTCTCTACCATCCATGAACTTTTAGTCTAGATAGCAACTGTTTAAACGGTTGACTTAGGCATCATATGGTTGATACAATAAATAGATTACTGCAAAAAAAACTTGGTATTTATTTCCCTTGACACATGGGGATAAAAAACAAAAAATTAAAAAACTTGGCATCTATTTGGATGGTAAATGACCTCTAATTAGGATTATATGGCCAGTATGCATAAAAATCTTTACTTGTGTTTTTTCCGCAGGTTTTATTTATTGTTTTAGGTGGAATCATACTTATTGTTTTAATTAAGTGCCTCATATAATTCCAGGGTGAGGCCAGAATCAAAAATGAAGGGTTCAAGACATTCATGAGAGTTAAGGTAGAAACCTTTTCACTAAAGGGTGGTCACAAGGCCTGTTCTGTTTGGGTTTGGGAGAGACAAGGCAGTGTGGCCCATATTACCATTACTGTAGCAGAAATTGCTGGTGTCTGTGGCAAGAGGAGGGCACCTGGGGACAGAAAAGAAGGAACTTATTTTTTTGTCTTCATGGAGCAGCTCACTGTTCCTGAATCTCTTCTAGTGTAAAGGACAGAAATGGATGGAATGTTTCTGCAGGTCTTGGTCCTGCCTGTGGGTGTGGTAGCAGATAAACAGGTGGTGCTGACACCATTAAAGGCATATTCTTGAGATGCAGGTGTAAATTGCGCAGAAAATTTCATTTGGGAATTCCAGAGGAGAAGGAGGAAAAAAATGGCTTTTTTTCAGCTAAACATGCCTCATATCAAGAGCTGTGTCCACTGTGCCTTCTGAAATACCATGCTTTTTTTTTTTTTTTGAGACGGAGTCTTGCTTTGTCACCAGGCCGGAGTGCAGTGGCGCAATCCCGGCTCACTGCAATCTCTGCTTCCTGGGTTCAAGCGATTCTTCCACCTCAGCCTCCCGAGTAGCTGGGACCACAGGTGCGTGCCACCACACCCGGCTAATTTTTTTGTCTTTTTTTTTTTTTTGAGACTGAGTTTCACTCTTGTTACCCAGGCTGGAGTGCAATGGCGTGATCTCGGCTCACCGCAACCTCCGCCTCCTGGGTTCAGGCAATTCTCCTGCCTCAGCCTCCTGAGCAGCTGGGATTACAGGCACGCGCCACCATGCCCAGCTAATGTGTTGTATTTTTAGTAGAGATGGGGTTTCACCATGTTGACCAGGATGGTCTCGATCTCTTGACCTCGTGATCCACCCGCCTCGGCCTCCCAAAGTGCTGGGATTACAGGCTTGAGCCACCACGCCCGGCGATCTCGATTTCTTGACCTCGTGATCTGCCCCACCTCGGCCTCCCAAAGTTCTGGGATTACAGGCGTGAGCCACCGCGCCTGACCAATACCATGCATTTTTATGTGCAAACCTTTACTTCTCTACTTGTGTTTTTCCTTCCCAATGAGCCTGTCTTAACTACTTTTAAGAATTCTTATAATAGTCAAGGGTCTCTGAAAAACATTTTAAAAATATTTATATCAGAGCCTTCTACATCATGGCTTCTTATATGCCATGCAGAATTCTCATTATGAATTTATGATCTACAGTATTAAAAATGTTCCCTTTGTGGCTGGGAAGGTGTGACTACTTAAGATTTCTATTGAAAGAAGAGTGGGTGACTGTAATCTCAGCATTTTGGCAGACTGAGGCAGGTGGATCACAAGGTCAGGAGTTCAAGACCAGCCCAGCCAAGATGTTGAAACCCTGTCTCTACCAAAATTACAAAAATTAGCTGGATGTGGTGACAGGCAGTTGTAATTCCAGCTACTTGGGAGGCTGAGGCAGAGAATTGTGGGAACCGGGGAGGTAGAGGTTGCAGTAAGCCAAGGTAGCACCACTGTACTCCAGCCTGTGTGACACAGTGAGACTCTGTCTTTAAAAAAAAAAAAAAGATAAAAAGAATGTGGTTCTTAGTAAAGATGGAAAACTTGTAGAGGTTCCATCTGTGTTCTTCATTAGCTCTATGCAGAACAGGATTAAGAAAATGGTTTTTTTTTGTTTGTTTGTTTTTTCTTTTTTTGAGATGGAGTTTCACTCTTGTTACCCAGGCTGGAGTGCAATGGCGCAATCTCGGCTCACCGCAACCTCCGCCTCCTGGGTTCAAGCAATTCTCCTGCCTTAGCCTCCGGAGTAGCTGGGACTACAGGCATGCGCCACCATGCCCAGCTAATTTTTGTATTTTTTGTAGAGATGGGGTTTCACCATGTTGACCAGATGGTCTCGATCTCTTGACCTCGCCATCCACCCCCCTCGGCCTCCCAAAGTGCTGGGATTATAGGCGTGAGCCACCGCGCCCGGCCTAAGAAAATGTTTTTTTAAAGAGGACGGCATTTATTACCCAGAAAGTCATGAAAAAGTATTAGAAAATACCTGCTCTCTAGGGTGCTAAAGGACTACTTAAAATCACTATTAAAAATTACAGAATATGGGAGATATCTGTATCTTGAACTTTGCATAAAACTGATGGTTCTGTGCTGTAGCTGGCCTGGAGTCAGAACCTAAGCAACGCCATTTTATACAAGGTAAAGCTGTTTTTCCAAAAATAAGTTGTAACTGCTGCCCCGTTTTCCTTGCAATAACTGCTGACCTTGGCTTCTGTAAATAAAAAACAGCTAGCTTGCTGTAAAGTTGCTTGCCCTGCACCCCCTCACTGTCGTGGTCCTAAAACCAGGATGTGGTTTTTCAGTTTAAAAACCCTGCTCCCCCTGAGCTCAGGGCCATGGGTTGGAGAGATGTGAGTCCTCCGTGGCCGCTGGCAATAAAGACCCTGCAATTTGGCATACTTTTGTCTTGGTGTTAATTTCTTTATACTAGATATGGTATAACAGTTCTTTATGGTTAAATTCAGACTGTAATTTAATTTCAGGGGAAAATGTCATAGTGGTGATGCTGTGTCCTTCTTTTGTGCATCAGCATATCATAAAAATCTGTCCTAGTGCAGTTAATATTAATGATTCACTTGGTTAAGGAGCTCTCCGACAGATTTTTTTACTAGAAAGCTAATTATTTTTCTTTTTATTATAAATTATTTTTATGCAACTGATGTGCATAAATCATCACATTTTATCTGTTAGCTGCTCCTCTTAGGTTTTCTTTGCTTGTATCTGTCTTTGGCAAGTGAAAGCTCTCATCTTCTTTTACAGTTCAGAAATACCAGGAAAAACACAGGCTCTTTTGTTTACTGGATGTTTGATAAAATATTCTTCTTGAGCCAATAACATTGGCATTACTGGTGAACTTGTTAGAAATTCAGAAATTCAGACTTTATTCCCGACATTCTGAAAAAAATAATCTACATTTACAAGATACCCAGTTTATTGTACACATTAAAATTTAAGAGGTACCTTCTAATTTAGCATGTCTTTTTGATCTGAAAAATATACACAACTCATTCTGTATGATGTAGATATAGCACTAAAAAATGTACATGTTTGTATTTATGACCTTAATTTTATTCTTGATTCAGAAAAATAGCATATATACACTGATGTTGTGGATTCTATGCCCCTCCATTTTCTCAGAGTTAGAGAATACATTACAGAATATTTCTAAGTTGAATATTATTTTATTAGATAATTTTAGTCACTTCTATGTCAGAACCAGTTCTCTACTCTCTCATTTGACCTTCAGTCACATTAAAAATTCTGCCCACAGCCACTTGTGGGCGTGTTTTTTAGAGTCAGAGAATACATTAGAGAATATTTGTGTTAAAAATCATTTTTTTTGGATAATTTCAGTCACTCCTATAAGTCAGAACCTGTTATCTCTACTCTCTCTCTCTCTTTTTTTTTTTTTTTTTTTTTTGAGATGGAGTTTTGCTCTTGTTGCCCATGCTGGAGTGCAGTGGCATGATCTCAGCTCACCACAACCTCCATTTCCCAGTTCAAGCAATTTTCCTGCCCCAGCCTCCGAAGTATCTAGGATTACAGGCATGCACCACTACGCCCATCTAATTTTGTATTTTTAGTAGAGTCAGGGCCTCAATGTGCTGGGATTACAGGCGTGAGCCACCACGCCTGGCCTGTTCTCTCTTCTTTCTAATTACGCCTTGAGTCAAATTAACAATTATGTCCATGACCACTTGGTAAATATATGCATGTCTGTGTGTGTTTTTCAGGGGCCATTGACATTTAGGGATGTGACTGTAGAATTCTCTCTGGAGGAGTGGCAATTCCTGGACGCTGCACAGCAGAATTTATATAGGGATGTGATGTTAGAGAACTACAGAAACCTGGTCTTTCTGAGTGAGTATAACTTCAATACTCCATTCCTAATATACCCTAAAGGCATTATGTCTGGTTTTTTTTTTTGTAGTATATTTGTTGGTAATTTTTGATAATTATGCTTTGCATAAATGAGTTTCAAATCCCTGTTTTCAAGAAAATCATAAAGATTTGTCAGTGTAGAAAAAACAATGTTTTCAAGACATTTTATCTTGAGCTGACCTTTCCACATCGTTGAGCTGACCCGTATCCCTCACTCTAGATTAGTGGTAATTCCAGAAATTTTGTGGCATAAAATATTGTTGAAACACTGTAAAATCTAATTGCAACCACCAATTTTTTAATTCCGGGTAGTGAAATTGAGAACCTACAAATATACAATAGTTTCTAAATATTTAGGAATTTCTGTTATAAATTAGTATTTTGGGAAAAAGGTATTACAGTATTCTATACATTCTCTTACAAGCACATTATTAAGTTGGAATTGGAGAATATGAGCAAGATACGTGTTACTTTTTATCTTTTTTTTTTTTTTTTTTTTTTTTTTTTTTCTGATAAAACAGGTATTTTCTCTAAGCCAGACATGATTACCTGTCTGGAGCAAGGAATACAGCCCTGGAATATAAAGAGACATGAGATGGTAGCCAAACCCCCATGTAGGTGAGAGTGAAAGCAAAAACAACAGATGACACAGATGAGAGATCAAGTCCTTAAAATGTCATTTGGGAAGCTGTGTTCATGTAGTTTTTGGAAGCCTGAGTTTTTCTTCTTTTTTTTTTCTTTGCTCTCACATGGGGATATTTTCTGTCTTATGGTTTTAAATTCTCTAAAGATTCTACTTTCATTACAGTCATTTTCCTTCAAGTTTACAGTGACAGCCAAAGTCCTCTTTATGGCATAGAACAGACTGAACATTCTGACTGCTTTTTTGTTGTTTTTAGGGACACACAAACATCTACATGATTTTCAAAAACTCTGGTATAAAATTATTTTTTAAGTTCTTTTTTTGCATCACGTTTGAAAAGAATGGAGTATTGGTTTCAATTACATTGAATTTTTTGTTAATTTTTCTTCACATACCATTCTTTTTTTTTTTTTTAAGCGTATTATTGAAAGACAGCTTGAAATTATAAAGTATGATGTCCTCCTGGTTTGTTCTTTTTCCTCAATATTGCTTTGACTATTCAAAGTTTATTGTAGTTTCATGTAAATTTTAGCTTTGTATTTTCCATTACTGTGCAAAAAACTTGACACTGGAATTTTTATAGGGAGCTTATTGAATCTATATTTATTGAATCTATGTTTTTTCAACTCATAGACATAAGACATTTTAAAATTAAATTGTATCTTCTCTATTTCTTTTTCTAACTATCTTACATCTTTCAGTGTAAAGATTTTTTTTTATCTCCTTGGTCAAATTTGTTCTCAGAAATTTATTATTTTAATGCTATTGTAAATAAGATTTTTTTTTTTTTGTCTATTTTATCAGATAGTTTGTTTTAAGTGTGTGGACCATAACTTATACTTGTATGTTAATTTTATGTTTTTCTAATTTACTGAGTGTATTTATTAATTTAGAAAGGTTTGAGTTTTTTTGTTTGTTTTTGAGACGGAGTCTCACTCTGTAATCCATGCTGGAGTACAGTGGCACATTCTCGGCTCACTGCAACCTCCGACCCCCTGGTTCAAGTGATTCTCCTGCTTCAACTTCCAAAGTAACTGGGATTACAGGCACGTGCCACCATGCCCAGCTCATTTTTGTATTTTTAATAGAGATGGGGTTTCACCATGTTGGCCAGGATGGTCTCGATCTCCTGACCTCTTGATCTGCCTGCCTCGGCCTCCCAAAGTGCTGGGATTACAGGCATGAGCCACCATGCCTGGACTTTTTTTTTTTTTTGAGATGGAGTTTTGCTGTTATTACCTGGTTGGAGTGCAATGTTGTGATCTCAGCTCACCACAACCTGATTCTCCTGCCTCAGCCTCTCGAGTAGCTGGGATTACAGGTGCACCACCACACCCAGCTTATTGTTTGTATTTTTTTTTTTTTTTTTGAGACGGAGTTTCGCTCTTGTTACCCAGGCTGGAGTGCAATGGCGCGATCTCGGCTCACCGCAACCTCCGTCTCCTGGGTTCAGGCAATTCTCCCGCCTCAGCCTCCTGAGTAGCTGGGATTACAGGCAAGCACCACCATGCCCAGCTAATTTTTTGTATTTTTAGTAGAGACAGGTTTCTCTGTGTTCGTCAAGCTGGTCTCAAACTCCAGACCTCAGGTGATCCACTTACCTCGGCCTCCCATAGTTCTGGGATTACAGGCATGAGCCACTGCACCCAGCAGACAGATTTTAATGCACTGCTTATGGTTTTCTATATATAAGATTACATAATCTACAAACAGCATATTTTTACTTGTCTTCAGTTTCAGTGGCTTTTTGAAAATTGTTCTGACTAATTTTTCTGCCACATACTTCCAGTTAAAAGAGAAGCATTGACAAGGGACACAATATAATTTTGCATTTGGTGTCTGTGAATTTGAAGGAGGAAAACACCTCTTCAGGTTTTTATGAATTAGTTTCAGGAGGTAAAGATCTTCTTCTATTGGGCCCCCAGAGTTATGAGATGACCTCTGAGTTTCCAATGGAGAGGGATTGTAGCTTGGTCACAAGATTGTGGGGTCTGCCCTAGTGTTTGGCCATTTCCTGTTCTGTAGCCAAGACCAGGGGTCCTGTAATTTGCCACCAGAATGAGAGCCTACCTTCTGTAGAAAACACTCCTCAATCTTTGGCTTTAGCAGAATCTCCCAATTTCATCTCTGGATCTTAAAGATCTCTTTGTCCGAGCACGATGGCTCTACTAAAAATACAAAAAATTAGCCAGGCTTGGTGGCGCCTGCCTACAATCCCAGCTACTTGGGAGGCTGAGGCAGGAGAATCACTTGAACCTGGGAGGTGGAGATTGTGGTGAGCCAAGATTATGCCATTGCACTCCAGCCTGGGCAACAAGAGCAAAACTCCATCTCAAAAAAAAAAAAAAAATATATATATGTGTGTGTGTATATATATATAAAATAAAGGCACTTATGTTTGAGTTTGAGTCTTGCTAGATAACCCCGGCTGATCTTGAAATCTTGGTGTGAACCAACCTTTAATGTACCATGTAGCTGCCATTACAGGCTCAAGCCATGATTCTCTCATAAAGGTATTTTTGTCAGGAATGGGCAACCAATTTTCTTGCTGTGGGGAAATAGGCAAATAGGGGACCTTTTATTTCTCCATCTTACTAATATCTCCCTTTCTATAAGTTTTTAATTTCTATTTTCTACTTCAAATTTGCCTGTAATGTTATATTCAGATATTTAGGAACAATAAGCTAGAATTTACATGTTATGTTTGAATTAAATTAGATAATTAGTAGGCACTCCATATTTACTAATATAGTTACTTATAAATTTAAGTTTGCTGCAGGGAGGTTGCAGTGAGCCGAGATTATGCCACTGCACTTTAGCCTGGGCAGTAGAGCAAGATTCCATCTCAATAAAAAGATGGTAAATTTTATGTTATGTGTTTTTATAACAATAAAATTTTTTTTTTTTGTTTTTTTTTTGTTTTTTTGAGACGGAGTTTTGCTCTTGTTACCCAGGCTGGAGTGCAATGGCACGATCTCGGCTCACCGCAACCTCCGCCTCCTGGGTTCAGGCAATTCTCCTGCCTCAGCCTCCTGAGTAGCTGGGATTACAGGCACGTGCCACCATGCCCAGCTAATGTTTTGTATTTTTAGTAGAGATGGGGTTTCACCATGTTGACCAGGATGGTCTCGATCTCTTGACCTCGTGATCCACCCGCCTCAGCCTCCCAAAGTGCTGGGATTATAGGCGTGAGCCACCGCGCCCGGCCTATAACAATAAATTTTTAAGAGGAAAAACTGAAAAAACAGAATTATTTTCTATATTTTTCACCCACTTTCTCTAGCCTATATTTAAATAATAACATAATTTATTTCCAAATATTTGTTTTATGTAACACAGGCTCTAACCATATTCTGTTATGTATGTGTTAAATTATATATATAATATTTATATTTAATAAAAAACATTAAATTGCACATATATATATATATATAAAATTTAGCAATTTAAGGCTATACCTTGCTTCTAAAGTTGGATTACAGCAGTTTCACTTTGTGAAAGAATAGCATACAATTATAACATAAAAATTATTTCTACTTTATTTTAAATGCATACTTATTAACTGTTTCTCATTAGAATCTTCTATTTATGATTATGTTGCATTTTTTCTCAAATTTTACTGCCATACAGTATCTGTCAGTGATTCAAAATACCTGTCTTCCATGAGTACACTGTTACAGTCAAATATTGTAGTTACCTAGACAATTTTTTTTAATGGTACATCAATGTTGCATACCAGATTATATGAGTAAATGTTTTACTTATTGTTTTGCAGTTCCATGTTAGTGTGTTTTTTTCAGTGTAGGTTTTTCAACATCAGTTCATTGTGGTTTTCGCTCTTGTTACCCAGGCTGGAGTGCAATGGCACGATCTTGGCTCACCGCAACCTCCGCCTCCTGGGTTCAGGCAATTCTCCTGCCT